TGGAAATACAGAAAAGAAAGAAAGAATCACTGGAATGTTGGTGGTGCTGATTTCCAAGGGCAAGTGTGTTAAAACCCAGTGCATGGAAAATGGATGAAGAACAGTCATGGTTTGGATTTACTTAAGAACAACATTTTCAGCTCTCAAAACAAAGCTGCTGCTGTATTTTGTTTTATTTCTAGAGATTTTTCAATAATCTGATTAATTTCTGCTGAAGTGTGAAGCAATAAAGTAGATTACAAGCAAGTACAGGAAGAGTGAGTGTGGAGGGAGTGAAATTTGGTGGTTTTTCTCCTTGGTTTCCAGTCCTGATCCCTCATTCCTGAGCTCCACACATCAGCAGGGCTGTGCAGAGGCTGAGGGGCTCTTCTGGTGTAAAATTCCAGCTTGAATTAATGGGAATTAATGCTGATGAGTTCATCCCACTGCAGGACTTCCTTGCTCTTTCCAGGCAGGATTTCAGAGCTGGGGGGACACCAGGGCAGTTGTGTTGGATGATAAAAAACCCAATGCAGACCAAAAGTTCAGCTTTGCTGTTTTCCTAATTATTATTCAGGGCAGTTCTGATCTTATCTTCAAGGCCTTGGAAGAACAAGGAATTTCACATAGAGATCAGTTTTGGCTCCTTACAATAATTGTACTTCAGAGAGACAATTTTGGTTCTTACACATTTATATTAAAGCTGAAAGAATTTAAAATTGCTTTAAAGGGACTGCCTCGGGCTCCAGGTTCAAGACAAGATGCAGGACCAGTCCTCATCATGTGGACATCACCTCATAATTGTATTTTTCCTGATTCCCTAATTAGTTTTTTGCCTGATTCCCTCACAAGCAGCAGAAATGGCTTTTGCATGGAAAAGTAGTGCCAGGTTTGTGTTTGTTTTTTGTAAGTTTGGGGTTATTTTGTAGAAACATCCCAGATTCTTTGGCATTAGCACTCAGATGTTGGAATCATGGAATGGGTTGGGTTGGAAGGACTTTAAAGATCATCCCTTCCCACCTCCCAGCAGAGGTGCTGCACACTCCATCTGCTCTGAGGAAAGGTTTTGAATCTCAGATGAGAAAAGTTGAGCACCTGAAGAGGTATTTTTGTGCTTAGACACACCAGGAAACACAAATCTTGGGTTATTTTGGAGCCCTACTTCAAATACCCCTATTTGACATTTTTATTATATTCATGTAACAACAAATGATTTTCTGCTGGTTTTACACAGGATTCAACTTGGTTTATCCAAACCCAAGAAAACCTCACTTCTGAAACTGCAGTGTGACTGAAAACTCCAGGCTGACTCTGAAAATCAGAAATGTCTCAATTCCAGTTAAGCTCAGAGTTTACAGTGACTTTTGGGTCACTGCAGACAGGAGAACACAGGGCCCAGTGATCCATCTCCAGCTTTTGAACCTTCAGAAACTCCAGAATTGTCAAAAATCCACATCCCCAAGTACTTAAGTATCACTAATTTGGTTTTGCTTTTCCCCACACCCAGACAGGAGGCAAAGCAGGTCCTGGGTATGAAGGGAAATGTGCAGGGTCCAGCAAGAGGCTGAGGGTGGCTTTGTCCCCATCCTGGGGATGACGTGGGGACAATGGGAAGGTCCTGGGTGAAGGCCAGGGCTCTGGAGCTGAGCCTCAGGTGGAGCCTGGGTTCAGCACTGACTTCTCCAGCACTGCTCTGAGCTTTGCTGGCTCTCAGAGCAGTCAGTGTGTTAATTAGCCCATGCTAATGAGCACTTTTTTAGCACTGGAGACAAAGGCTGCACTCGCTCTCACCTGGTATTGATGGAACAAAGCTCCGTGGGTTTGTGGGATCCTACGCAGCAGAGCCTGCTCGGGGTTTGCTGTAACGCTTATTTTTCATCTGCCTTAAGAAAGGAAGCTGAAAACTTCTGAGCTCTGTGCTGAGTTCAGCTGTGAGGGCAGAAATCCCTCCTGAGCTGTGCAGTGTGCCCTGCAGTGATTGTCACAGAGGGTGACAGTCACTCCCCATCAGTCACACCCATGTGGTGATGGCCCAGGGCAGAGAGCAGCCCCTGTGGGCAGGGAGGCTCCTGGCTTCCAGAGGAATGGATCCATTTCTGTCCTTCCAAGGACACTGAGCCTGGTTGTGTCCTCACACTCCCTTCTGGAGTGTGATGGGTCCTACAGAGAGTTCAGAAGAGGCCACAGAGCTGCTCCTNGATGGGATTTAAGGTCCTTTCCAACCCAAGCTATTCCATTATTCCATGATTCTGTGAGCTCCATAGCATGCCCAGCGCAGTTGCTCTGGATTCATCCTGGCAGAACCAGGGATGCTTTTCAAAGGCTTCTGCATTTCAAGGTACTTGGCCCAAGCTCTGTGGATTAGGCTGCTCAAAGCACCCTCATTAAGCAGGTAATTAAGAGGCAGAATCGTTGCTGTTCCTGCCGCAGGGAGGTTGGGGAGAGAGCTCTGGGTGAACAATGGGATCCTTTCCTTTTTAATTCTTGATGTCTTAATAACTGTCTTCGTGTATTACTGCGGAGCAGAACGTGACCGCCCTCATCAGCTCCGCACGGGTTTTAAGTGCTATCAGCTGTTAATTAACTCCAGTTTGAAGAACTTGGGGAAGTTGAAAGCTGCTTTCCTTCGGTGTGCTGGAAGCTGATTCCCATTGATTTGTGCTGGGAATTAATCAGCCAGCCAAGCACTCACTTATTCCTTTTGCCTCTGTGCTTTCTTAGCTTGTAAACGATACCTTTGTAGTTTACTGAGAGCATGAATCACACTGGAGCTTCTGAAGAATTTTCCCCCTCTATACTCATCCATTTTTCATGCTACTCAAATCATAATCTGGATAATGAGTGTTGGGAGAATATTGCTGTGTGTCTCCAGCTGAACTTTGGGGAGCCAAACCCTGATTTGTGTGGCTGGCTGCTCTGATAGAACACTGACTGATAGAGAACAGACATGTTTAAACTCTGGGTTCAGACTTACAGAGCTGGGCTGAAAAACCCTGAGTGAACATCCCTGGCGAGCACTCCCTGGCTTGTGGCCTGTCAGCCTTCCTCCAGGCTGGCTCTGAGGAAGATGGATGGGGGAGTCCCTCATAAATTTATGGGTGAGAAAATAATTGCTTCCAAAACTTGTACAGTTCCCAATTAGCCCTGGGCTGTTGCTCCTGCAGCCCTGTGTGTGCTCTGTGCTCTGGGTGACAGTGTTGGCAAAGCTGTGTCTGCACATTCCATGTGCAAGGAAATTCAGGTGAGTCAGGAATTGGCAGCTGGAGCAGGTGCCATGGCCATGCCACACATGAACCTGGATGCAAATTCCACTGAAAGAGGTCAAAGTGTTCTTCCCAGGGGAAAAACCACAAGCAGGCCAGACACAACATCCATAAAAGTGTGTTGTAAAGGCTGGTGCTTGATGGGATTTTGTGACTGGAATAGAAGAGCTCAGCCCAAGAGCAGAGGGGCTGGAACAACCCAGAGAGGGGCAGAGGGGCTGGGGATGTCTGGAGGAAAAGCCCTTTGTTCTCTTTGCTCTCTGAGCAGCTCTGGGATCTGGTGTGTGATTTCTCAGGGATGGCAGATGAATTGCTGGGAAATTGGCAGTGAATTACTTGATTCAGGAGGAATTTATGGGGATCATGATCCTGGCTGTGAAATATGTTAAAGCAGACATTAAAGGACACCCTAAAGCTGAGCAGGGTCTGCACCCCAGGTGGGTGACACTGAGTGCTCAGTGCCCACTGAGCTGCTTGTGCTGTAAGGGAGGCAAATTACAAAGGAGGCAAATTACAAAGGAGGAAAGGAAAAAGGAAAAAGGAAAAAGGAAAAAGGAAAAAGGAAAAAGGAGAGGAGAGGAGAGGAGAGGAGAGGAGAGGAGAGGAGAGGAGAGGAGAGGGAGAAAAATGAAAAGAGGGACATAAAAGGAGAAGCAAATTTGAGGTCATGGCTGAGACTAAATCAGTAATTTAGTAGGTTCAGGTGATGACATTTCCCGGTTAGGAGTAGCTGGTCCCTGAATGGTGAGGCTGGATAAGGAAGGCCTGGACGTGGCACTCAGAGCTGGGTGACACAGTGGGGACTGGTCACAGGCTGGACTCGGTGATCCTGGAGGGCTTTTCCAGCCTCAGGAATTCTGGGTTCAGAGGCTGAAGGTGGTGGATGGGGTCGGGGAGAGCTGGAGGTGTTGCACTCCCTGAGCAGTCCCCCAGAGCACAGTGCTGGTGTCCTGGCTCTGTGTGGGGACAGAGGGACACAGAGAGTCCTGCTCTGGGCTCCCCATCCATGCCTGGCTGGGGTTTGGGCAGGAGCTGGAGCAGGAGCCCCGTTTCTCTGACACCCTGGGGTCTGAGGGCAGTGTCCTTGAACAGTGTCACCTCTCAGGGGCACTTCTGGGGGTGCCTCCAGAACATGGCCCAGAAGCTGCTTCCCAAAGCTCCAATGGAGGAAATGAGCTGTGTGTCAGTGTCTGCTGTGCCAGGGGTGCTCCCAGTGCCCAGGGTGGGCACAGCCCACCCAGGGACCTGTTGGCTTTGGGCACAGGTGGGGCAGGGCAGAATCCACAGCCTGGGCTGAGATGGAGGAGGCCCAGAGCTCTGTGGCACATGGACAGATCTCTGGGAGTGTCCCATTGCTTGCCCATGAGACTCTTCTGGACCTGTCACCTTTCCAGCCCCAGTGACCTTCTCCAAAGTCCCTTGGTCACTCGGGAGCATCCTGCCTTATCCTGTTAAAGGATCAATCCCAGCCTGTGTGTCACTGCAGGAGGGACACCTGGCACAGTGCTTTGGGGACACCTGGCACGGTGCTCTGGGGGTGTGTCACTGCAGGAGGGACACCTGGCACCGTGCTCTGGGGACACCTGGCACGGTGCTCTGGGGTGTGTCACTGCAGGAGGTACCCAGTTTGATGCCATCTCCAATCTGCGTCCGTGCCGTGGGATGGGATGCAGAGCCGGCAGCTGCAGGGTTTGCTGGGCTGGCACTGCCAGGGCTGGGGAGGGCCGAGCTGACTGTCCTGTTTCCCTGTGTCCCCAGGGTGTGACCTACTGTGGGGAGAGCTCGGCCAGCAGCCTGACCATGGCCAACGTGCCGTGGCACGAGGAGGTGCTGAGCTTCGTGCAGGAGCTGGCGCGGCTGCTCCCGGACTACGGCATCGCCTGCGAGCACGAGCACTCCAACTGCCTGCTGCTGGCCCACTGCAAGGTGAGCCTGCCTGAGCAGCTGTGCCCTGCTGCCAGCTGCCTGCTGCTCCAGTTATCCATCCACAGCTGTTTGGGCTGGAAAAGCCCTCTGGGGCCTTTGTGTCCAGCCCAGCACTGCCCCGTGTCCCCACGTGCCACGTGCACACCTGTGTTAAACCCCTCAGGGCTGGGGACCCCTCCATTGTCACTGCAGTGGGCCCCCAGCTGGGTAATAATTAGCACTGACCCCATGATTCACAGAAGGCTGATCAATCTATTTATTATATTATTATTAAGAAACCCATTGCTTTATAGACAGTTACAATACAGCTGGATTTTTACTTCAATCCAAACCCATCACCATTGGCTAATTAAGAGACCACCCTTTGGTAAACAAACCTCCATAACACATTCCATATGTTCACAACAACAGTGGCAGCAAGTGAAGGTAAGGATTATCATTCTTTTTTCTGATCATCTCACAGACTTTTGCCAGCACAAAGTTGTCTGTTTCTCTCTGTGGCCTGAGAGCTGCAGCCACAGCCCATTCCAAAGCTTCCCAAGCCCTTCCAGTCACTGGCCAGGAGAATCCATGGTGTGCCCCAGGATTCCAGCCCTTCCCACCCCTGAATGCCACTCAGACCCAAGGGATGCTCTGTTATTTTCCTGTTGCTCTGAGCCACCTCTCCAGAGGCAGAATCACCACATTTGGATCAGAGAACCACAGAACCATTTGGGTTGAAAAAGCCCAACCACCCTCCCAGCACTGCCCAGGCCACCACTGCCCCATGTCCCCAAGTGCCACATGCACAGGGCTGTTAAACCCCTCCAGGTATGGGCACTCCAGCCCAACAACAAATTCCAGGAAGGAATTTCCCCCAAATCCCCCCTGAGCTGCCCTGGCCCAGCCTGAGGCCGTTCCCTCTGCTCCTGTCCCTGTTCCCTGGAGCACAGCCCGACCCCCC